TCTCTCTCTCTGTCTCATTGTGTCATATGGATTACTGTTAATTTATTATGCTGATCTGTTCTGTACGACATCTATTGCACGTCTGTCCGTCCTGGAAGAGGGATCCCTCCTCAGTTGCTCTTCCTGAGGTTTCTACCGTTTTTTTTCCCCGTTAAAGGGTTTTTTTTTGGGGGAGTTTTTCCTTATCCGGTGTGAGGGTCTTAAGGACAGAGGGATGTCGTATGCTGTAAAGCCCTGTGAGGCAAATTGTGATTTGTGATATTGGGCTTTATAAATAAAATTGAATTGAATTGAATTGAACTTTGTGCAGTGGTGGTAGCGGAACTGTTCAAGCTCAATGCAAACAAGACAGAGGGGCAGGTGGTGGATTTTCTCTGAAAAAAAAAATATCCCTCAATCACACCAGTGAACATCCAGAGAGTCATTGTTTGATCATACTAATACTCATGAAGTTCAGACTCTACCATGCAAAGTGAAAGCCATATTATCAACTTCAAAATACAAAGCCGACTCCTCTGGGCCTGAGCTCATCAAAGATGGACTGACATAAAGTAGAAAAGTGTGCTGTGATCTGACGAGTCCACAATTCACATTGTTTTTGGAGATCATGGACAACGTGTCCTCCTGGCTAAAGAGGAAAAGGACCATTCAGATTATTACCACCTCAAAGTTCAAAACCAGCCTCTGTGATGGTATGGTGGTGTGTTAGTGCCCATGGCATTGGTAACTTGCACATCTGTGAAGGCAACATGAATGCTGAAAGGTCCATAGAGGTTTGGGAGCAACATATCCTGCCATCCAGGCGATGTCTTTTTCAGGGACATCCCTGCTTATTCCAGCAAGACAATGAGACACATTTAAGTAGCCTACCAGAATCATATAATCAATTGCCTTTTCAGTCCACTAGATACATTTTGTTGCTGAAAAAAATTGCTGAAGTGAGATGAACAGACTGAAAACTTTATCTTATTAGACAAAACAGATGTTGACTAAGTTTTCCCTTTGGGACATAATCTACAGTTGAAAAAAGGTAATGGAATGCAACACATTTTATCGCAATACTCAGCATATCACTACATATTTAAAATCACAATAATATTGTATCGTAACTTAAGCATTGTAATAGTTTTGTATTGTGGATCCTCTCATGATTCCCATCCCTAATATCAAGAATGTGAAAGAATTTCACTTTCAAAACTTTAATAGTTCGTGTCCTCAATTCCTAAACACTGAGCACTGATAAAAGAAAAGGTGATGTAAAACAGTGGTAAATATGACCCTGTCCCAACTTTTTTTAAATGTGTTGCAGGCATCAAATTCAGAATGAGTGTATAAAATTAAATTACATTTTTTAAAAAACAAGTGTATTCAGTTTGAATGTTGAATATTTTGTCTTTGGACTGTATTCAGGTGAACATAGGTTCAGAAAGATTTGCAAATCATTGCATTCTGTTTTTATTTACATTTTTGACAGTGTCACAACTTTTGGGGTATTGGGGTTTTTAGCATCAACACCCTGAGGTGACCACAATCATGGCAGCCTCATCTGTTCTTGAGCTTGAGCTGACGTCACATCCAACACCATGCACAAAGTCCTGTAAATATCTCAAAGCAGTGTTACCTGATGGTGTATCTCAGGAGGGAGCTGGCTGACATTGCTGGTGCTGCTTGCCAACAGATGAGCATTAAACCATGGCCTATGCAGCCAGTCCATTGGCAGTCCTGATATCACAGAACATCATTTCACCAATTTTACCCAGCGTCTCTCGTCAACACAACACAGCACCTAGTCAATCGTAGTTACATTACCTTTAGGCAACCAGGAGGAAATGACTCATTTGCCCCACAAAGGGAGATCAATTTTAACGTTTATCTGTTATGTTCTTCAGTGTCAGCAACAAATACATAAACCCTCAAAACTAAATATCCAAGGAATAAGCATCTTAGACTACTTAAGGGATTATCAACTATATTAGCTACAATGTCTATACGAGTTGCACTGAGCGCTATGGATAACACACTCACTAATGCATCAAAACAAAGATCAAATTGGGTCTAAATGACGATAATGAGTCAACATATCAGACTAAAATAACAAGTAACCTCCATGCAGGAGTCGATGTGACGTGAGCGGCGAGTTAAGGTTACAACGTTGTTTGCTATGTGACTTTTAACGACAGTCAATGACAGCTACGTAACATGGCTCCTGTTAGCGACTCCGGCTGGCATGTAAAGTATTAGCAATGCAGCAACTTCGGCCGTCAGACAATCAAAGGCTCAAAATACGTTACAAGTGATGGCTGTTTGGTAAACTGACGACAAGGAGCACAGTCACTCTCTGCCCTCACCGTAGGACTGCTAGCTTAGCTGACTCTGTTTTCACTTCCGTTCTTCTTCTTCTTCTTCTACTGACAACAGAGCAGCGTCACCCTGGCGCAACCCCTCGGACTGGAGGAACATGACGGGTGTGCACACCAGCGGTGGAGGTGAGGGAGTAACCAGAGATGGAAAAAGTACTGAAAAATTCTACTCAAGTAAAAGTACCTTTACTTTGATGGAATTCTACTTAAGTACAAGTAAAGCTACCCATCTAAAAATCTACTCAAGTAAAAGTAAAAAGTAGTTAGGTTAAAATGTACTTAAAGTAGAAGTTACTTAGTTACTTGCAACAACTTGATGGGGGTCACTATGCAGTGCAAAAATGGTCCAGGGGTCATAAATCCAATCCAAAAACTGGTTATTTCTGTATGATGAACCATAGAATTCAATTCAATTTAGGGCTGCTCAATATCATTAGAGCATCACCATCGCAATGTGTTCTTGTGCAATAGTCACATTGTGAGACTCGCAGTATAAGTTCATCATATCGATATAATATTAGTCAAAGGCAATATGCCATACTTATTTTGCTGGTTAATCCTTTAGGTTGTGAAGTTCTCAATTTCCATGACAGTTTGATTGTAAAATGTATATTTCATGCAAATACAGCCTTTCCAAAGCTCAAATGATGACTTCTTTCCAAATAGAGCTATTCAAGTTATTGCAATACACTGTATATTGCAATACATATGGCAGTATACAAAATCGTCGTCTCATTGTCAGTTTTGTCTAATATTGCGCAGCCCTCATTTATTTTGATTCACAACTGTTAGACTGATGATGCACAGAGCAATTTTTTGAGCAATGTTGTTGGGCATTATTCTCATGGATGCAAACAGGTGTATGGTCAAAAAGAGAGAGCTTGTTGAAGTGAAATTTTCAATATTAAAATACACTAACACTAATTTGGAAGATTACTGTGTATTCCAAAACAGAACAAATCCATTGAGCAACAGTGTTTCCCCTATATGCAACTAGCAGCGGTGGTGCTCTGCTGCTGAAATATGACCACTGCTGCTGATTTATTTTTCTTTTTTTGTTGTCTTAGCTCTTTAGAAACTACTGTTATATTATTGGTTGCTATGGACGCTTCATATCCAGGTCAATTCACACACTTGTAAGTAAAGCATAGAGAGGAGAGGAGAGGGCTCCGTCTTATCTCTTCATAAACTAAAGTTATATTATTTTGTGCGACGGACGCTTCATATAATAACATAACAATATACTATTTATCGTGTTATATGGTGAAACGTTTCACTTTATAACGTGATGACTTATATTGTTTACATGACGGCATGTCATTTCTGTCTCTACATGGTCGCACCTTTACAACCCTCTTCTGCTCTCTGTATCGTGCGCGGCAGAGTTTGGTCCCGATGCGCACACACACACACACACTACATGGTCGCACCTTTACAATCCTCTTCTGCTCTCTGTATCGTGCGCGGCAGAGTTTGGTCCCGATGCGCACACACACACACACACACACACACACACACACACAGGTGAGCATACAAGAGAGCGGCTCGGGCCGCATTTGTCTGACCTACAATTATAAACGGCACTGTGCACACGGGGTTTTCTTTCGTTTCGTTCGTTTTTTCGTTCATTTCAACTGCTGCGTCTGCTTGTGCTTCTGCTGAAGCACTCCCACCCTCCTCCATCTCTCTCTACAGTAACTTGCCGGCACTGGCCACTTGTTTTGGGTCAATTCCACGCAAGATTTCCGAGATTCACTCTTTTGGTTTCCATTTAGCCGAAAACCTCCAATGCAGCGAAGTACAATACTTAAGTCAAAATTTACTTAAAGGGATAGTGCACCCAAAAATGAAAATTCAGCCATTATCTACTCACCCATATGCCGATGGAGGCCCTGGTGAAGTTTTAGAGTCCTCACATCCCTTGCGGAGATCGGCGGGGGGAGCAGCTAGCACACCTAATGGCAGACGGCGCCCCAGACTAACGTCCAAGAACACAAAATTGAATCCACAAAGTATCTCCATACTGCTCATCCATAGTGATCCAAGTGTGCTGCAGCCCCGACATAAAAAGTTGTTTCGACAAACGTCATATGAACTCTGTTTTTAGCCTCACTGTAGCCTGTAGCTCTGACTGTTTCTCTGTGCTCCGCGCTCACGTGTGCGTGCTCAGGGTGATCGGTGATGCACGGTCTCTGAAGAGCAGCAGTCTCGTCAGTACTGATGTCCAGATTCTCAAGTGCAGGCATCGCCAATTCCCAGTCTGAGCAGCAAAGACTTTCCTCATCCGATGGCATTGCTTTGCATCTGACGGAGGTGGCTGGGGAGAGGACTGCCTGGGATTCTTTGCTGAGGCTGCTGCCCCCACGACCCGGACCCGGATAAGCGGAGGACGACGAGACGAGACAGATTTTGTGTTCTTGGACGTTAGTCTGGGGCACCGTCTGCCATTAGGTGTGCTAGCTGCTCCACCCGCCAATCTCCGCAAGGGATGTGAGGACTCTAAAACTTCACCAGGGCCTCCATCGGCATATGGGTGAGTAGATAATGGCTGAATTTTCATTTTTGGATGCACTATCCCTTAAAGTAAAAGTAAAATTACAGATTTCAAAAACTACTGAAAAAATTACAAATTAGGCTACACAAAAAAACTACTCAATTACAGTAACGTGAGTAAATGTAGTTAGTTACTTCCCACCTCTGGGAGTAACTTTCATATAGATGTATAAAATTGGAGGGTTGAATACTTTAAAGATTTTGTCTAGATTTTGTTAGTCCAAAATCACCAGTTAAGTTACCAGAATTCTACTCACAAATATATAGACTAAAATCTTAGCCCATATACAACAACGTTCAAAAGAAAAGCTCAATTCAATGAACCTTGGTACGAGATTTTTTTTTGTTTGTTTCTTTGTTACTGATCTCACAGATGCCCATTACTGTCTTGTTAAAGAGAACAAAGTCAGTGAATAGTTTGGTATAAAATGCTTTTATATGAAATTTTATTTAACCTGTAAAGCAGTGCCAGGCACAGACATTTTGCAAGGCAGGTACAAGTGATCAAGTTTTACATGTTATTCACATAGAAATGGGTTTCATATAGCTTACCCCCAGCATACCCACCAGATGCATGTTGGTTGCGTCTGCTCTCCGGGCCGGCAGCGGAGCCCATACGTTTCAATTATAGCCTAGTCAATGTGTGTGCCTCCACCGGCTGTGGCTGTGCTGCGTTCCCGCTCTGTCACAGCTACGGTGCTCCGGAATCCTCTGCAACAGCAGGACTTCTATTTTTGCCAGACGCCGGAGCACAACGCAGCAATTCAGCACAGAGCAGATCAGGAAGTCGTGCACAGAAACAAAATAAAACATCCGGTCAATTTTCAAAATAAAATACACAGTGTTCATGGTGGGTCATATTTCCCTGCATTACACCTTGAAAACGTCATAATGGGCGGAGACAGGCCTGAAGTCAACAGGTCAGAGGTTTTCAGATGTCATTTCACCCCGCTGACACCATGGACAAGGAGATGTTAATCATGGAGGTGCACCAAGATGGCTTCCTACTTCTCCTCTGGTTTTGTGGTTCTGTTTATAGAAACTACATCTTGTTATATCACGCTATTATGCATGAATTCGCGAGATCTCGTGGGTCCTCGTGACTCCCGCTGTCCGGCGGAGCTGCACCACTCCGCACAGCAAACGCAGCCAGTGGGTGTTGATGGACGGCGGAGCACACAGCAGATAACCAGCGCAGCCATTCAGCAATGGACACACATCCAGTGGAATTCCGGCCTAAGTGGCCCTCAAATGGCGGCCCGCAGTCTGCATCCGGCCCGCGAGCTGCCACTTGGGGTACCGCGAGCTGAACACTTGAGTCCTTCACAGTGTGTGTTTTGGATTGGGCTGTCATATTCATGCCAACGATTCCCTGATAGGCTGTTAGTGAGAATGGCATTTTTTTTACTTTTGGTTTTGAAGTGGTACGCTTATCGATACTTTGCCAGCTGTAGGAGCCTAGATTGAATGAAAACGGCATGTTCCAAGTACGAAAAAAAATTAAGATGTTGAAAGGTTTTGTTTTATTTGAGTATTTATTTGAATTTATGTCAAAATGGAAATGGCATTTTATTTTATTTTATTGTGTATTTTTGTTGTTGTTTTGAACAAAAGGGACATTTTGTTTTGAATATATAACTATAATAAATGGCATGCATTAAATGAACTACAGTAAATAAAGCATTTGTTAATTACCCCCTAATGCCACCAATGGTCCTTCTCAGGGTCTTTGCTTGACCTAGTTAAAGTATTATGTATTAGTTTAGTATTATGTTGTAATTGGAAAGGGCTGAATTTACCTGCCTTATTAAGGACAACCAAAAAACATGTATTGCACAAAGAAACCATATAGTGAAGAAATTACATTTTTACAAATACTGTATCTAATAATATTGTGCAAAGTCTTGTACAGTGATCAAATGAGAAACAAAGACAAAGGGTAAAAGTATCGCTTGGATAAAATGTTGTCACAAAATTGCCTGAAAAAGGGAAAAAAAAATTCTACTTACAATTAACATCGTATTATTGTTAGTAGGCCTATTTGTTGACGCTGTACTGGGTTAGGGTTAGATGTGGCTGAGGCTGGATGCGGATTATCTTAGTCTGTGCTTGTAGTGGCTGGTGACCCAGCATCTCCACTAGTGACAAACTTAAGCATGTCCTTTTTAGCTCTTTTAATGGTTTATCACAAATACAATTGCTACAACTAAAAAGCTACTGCAGTAATGGAAATCACCTTTTAACTTCAAATAAGCTTAAATTAAGATTCTACTTTGTGGAGACACGTTCTTAACAGGTTGATTAGACATAGGGATTACTGTCTTTCTGTCTAAGATCCTTTGATGTCCTCAGTGCTTCCTTTTTAAAATTCCAACCTATTCTTGCATGATTGAAATCACACCACTAGAGCGTGCCAAAGCACATCCCTCAAGATAAGCTCCTGACTCAAACCCATGTGAAAACAATTT